TGTAGAAATATTGGCTTTTTCTCCATGAGAAAGCCATTTCTTTCTATTTGCATAATGAGTAAATGCTAGAAAGAATGCAAGTGCTTGTGCACCTTGGGTTACTTCAACTGAGGTGTACGAAGCTTCCGAGCTTCGGTCTCTGCTTCCAACTGGATCGAAGATCTATGGCTCCCCAAAGACTATGTCACCAAACGCGCTGCTTCCTCACTATGCAAAGGAAACCAAGAGGTTAAGCACGGTAGCCGGTTAGGGTTTTCTTGGCCGTAATCTGGGACTTTCGGGTGGGGGGGGGGGGTTATTTGGCAACAGAGAATTTTCAAAAGTCTTGGGAAGGGAATTTTGAGAAGTTTGGGTGGTTCTTGGTGTTTTCAAGAGAAAAGAAGAATTATAGGAAGTTCTTGCTGTTCTATTACGTATCACCCCCCTCCTCCGTGCTCTATGCACTTTTGGAGCGTTTTGGGGGTAACCAGGAAGGTCTTTCAGGGCATCCAAGCTTTTTGAAAACGGTCTTTTGCATGATATAGGGACACATGCGAGAACCACAGAATCCTGCTTCGCTTTTTTCCCTAGTTCGATTCCTCGTGGTGACAAATTTTTGCATTTCGAGTTGACGTTTCAAAATTCGCGCAAAATGGAGTTAGCATGAATAATTAGTACCATATTCATGATTAGGACCGTCAGTAACCCTTACAAAAGACTTTGATTAAAAATGGTGAAAAGGTGTGACACCAAGGCCCCACTGTGGTGTCACACCTTTTTCACCAGTTTTTTAATCAAAGTCTATTTGTAAGGGTTACTGACGGTCCTAATCATGAATATGGTACTAATTATTCATGCTAACTCCATTTTGCGCGAATTTTGGAACGTCAACTCGAAATGCAAAAATTTGTCACCACGAGGAATCGAACTAGGGACCCCTTTTCTGGTATTCAGAGGGTGGTTCTGTGGTTCCCGCATCTGCCCCTATATCATGCAAAAGACCGTTTTCAAAAAGCTCGTCACGCCCTGAAAGACCTTCCTGGTAAGCTTCCAGTGTTTCAAGGGGCTACAGCATCAATCACTGTAGGCCTTCAGAATTTGCTTCGGCTCGGGAGTTATGAGGAAGGGATCGTATGGGGAATTCATGCAGACATGTGTCGTTCGATTCCGAAATTTTCTTACGTGACTGAAGCCCCTGAGTGACTAGGCTCCGAAACTTTTTCTCTTCAAATTAAAAGTCAGAAAGGTGTGCAGAAAACTAGGTAAGACAAGTTCCAGCAGTGAGTAAGCTGGGTCATGATAGAAGAAGAGGAGGGGGGAACATTCAACAAATTCTCACGGGGAATGTTGATTTCGGGAGTAGGCTAGGGGATCTGCACTAGTCTCCTGCTGCGCGATTTTGCCGCGCGCCCCGAGTCATAGCGTGAATCTAATCGTAACGCTGCTCCTACTATTCAGTTTGACAGTTTGTACCCCTATTTCTTCACACTGCGACCTACTACATTACTGGTCAAAAGCATATTTCGATGTTTACAGGTCCCTCGATCAGTACAGTTTGACGAGAGTTCGGAAGAGTATCGCTGCCTGTGCAACTGCTTCCACGTGAAGATCGGTGCTTACCTCATCGGCGCTGTTCACGTCTTTATGATCCTGTTTTTCCTGATTCACTCTCTTCTTGTGTACTTCCAGCATGATGGCAGATTACAAGACGTATGTTTTATCATTCTCTCAACCCTTTTTTGCTATACAGTTAATAGAACTTATAAACCAATTTCTCGCAGTGCTCCAGGAAGTGTTCGAAGGGGTCTGCAAATAGAAATTAATTCATAACGTCTCGAAAATTCTTGTTCTGAATTATGCAGATGCTTGTTTTTCGATCTCTTTCCACCATGTCCTTTCTTTGAAAGTAGGGTTCACCCTGGAAATGTTTCTGGCTTTGTTAGGAATGAAAACTGAATAAGGGACTGACTATGACTTCATCCGAAGGAAAAGTCTAGCAGAAATTTCCAGGAATGCTAAATGGCAAAGCAGTTTCCCTATAGGGACGATTGATTTGAAAGCGTTGACAGGGGCTAAATGGGGCATTCAATCGAATGTCTATCTTACTTTCTTTAGTAAGAGTTTAGCTTGCTGCAGGCCAGTCAGCGTTTACTAAAGAGCTCACATTCTCATTTCTCAACTCACATTCTAATTCAATTTCTCTCTGAAAGTCGAACGTTGCACATCCTGTGAAACCACTTTGACACCCTTTTATTTGACATCTTTTCCAACCCTTTCTGTTACCTTTAAGATATTTGTGGAACTGCTCAATTTGAATTGCATCCGCAAGATTTTTTAATGTTGGGATTTTCAAAGGGCAGTTTCAAAGTTTCGTGGTTCCAATAGTGCTGAGAGACTGCTATGTGTTCAAAATTCTTTTTTTTACAGACATAATAGCTCCACAAAAACTTCAAGTGGTGCTTCCAGTCGAGAAACGTAGTCTTCGTTTTTTCAGGCTCGAGGAGTTAAAGAAAACTACGTTTTTGCGTCGTTCCTTGCCGAGATGATTGGCTTGGGGCTTGGAGCACTCGTCGTTTTTCTCCTATTCATTGGTCTTTCACGAAATCAGGCATTGCTACTTATTCCGCATATCGTCATGCAGGTATTTCTGCTTCTTTCTACTGATTTTGAATCAATATCGTCTATGAGATCAATACATTGTCATTATTTTTGTCCTTTGATGTGTTTGTTTTATTTTTACGATCGCGCGCTCTAAACGAAACGCCTGTGGCCCGCCGGCGGGCCATTCGGTCCCAGGAGACTGCATTTTTTGCTTGAGTTCACCAACATTGACTGAATTGCAGCTTTTTTCAGCAAATTACTGATTAAAGGATAAAGGATAAAGCATTTGCCGTTGATCAATCCCTTTTTGGGATGCGGCACGCATTCTACTTCCATTTGTACATTCGTAGTGGCGTTTGAATGCGATGTGGCCTATACAATGACTTGCGGGGGCCAGCCGATGTACAAGTCAGTGTTTTTATCCTCCCAGACAAGTCTGGTACCAATTAACCGACCCCGGAGGGATGGAAGGCTTGGTTGGCCCGGGCGACTCACGACCCAGGATTTGATCCCCGGACCGCTCGCGTGGTAAGCGTGCCACTTGCCACTACACCACTTCCGCCCTTACTGATATTACTTTATGGTAATTGTATTGTTCAATCATACATTCTAATGCAGATGGAATATCAACAAAGTAGTGAAAAGACTACTGAAGAAGACCTACAATTCACAAGTGTTTTGATCGCACTGTTTAACTAGCAGCTGCTGTAAACAATTTGTTTTCTTGCACAAATTTGCATTAAAGACCAATTGCATAGATTCCAATACAATTTTTCTTCCGAACTTATTTCTTAGCTAGTGTGGCGTCGATAATCGGTAATGTATTAACTGGAAAGTTACTGCCATGCACTGAGTGCCAATTTAAAAAAGGCGTGGTCCCTGGAAAGAAGCTTCGGTTAATGGGCTATCGAGTTTTTCAAAAAATGTTTGAATAATGATCAGTAGTCGCACTTTTTGTGCTTAGGCTGAAATTGATCGGTACAAAAAATGTTTGCAATAACAATTTGCTACAGTGGGTGAGGACACTTTTGGTCGGAGACGGACATATGCGCGTCCTTTGATCCTGCATAGTTGTAGCCGCTTCTGCGTTGTCTGTGAACGTTTTCCTTTGCCTCCGTTCCTCCTTTCCCACAAACCTTCGAGTCTATGAGTGGTTTTCGACATGTAGGTCCGATTGTAATCCAACGATCATATTATAAGCTCGAGATAAGGGGACCAGGAAGTGATTCTAGGAAGGTACCTCTTAATCGCACGTTAGCTTTGGCCTTTTCTACGCACTCTCAAATCGCAGGAATAGCTGAAATGACCAAAATCGCAAAAACCGAGACCTGCTACACAAGAAAGTTAACAAACAAACAGTTCTCCAAAAAGAGATGTTCTCGTGGGATCGTGTGACATGTCACATTCGCGAAAGCGCGGTCGTCGACGTGTCAAGTATGCTAATATATGACCTATAGAATGAGTACAAAGACCTTAGGAATAAGTCGCACAAGCGCAAGAAAAAGGGATGACTTGGGTGGGACGCGTTACCGCGTCACAATGTCCCACGAGGTGCGCAAAGTGGGACGCGTTACCGCGTCACAGTCAACGTGGCATTGCTCATAAATTGCAAATCTTACAGTCGCATGAGAAGAAATCAGAAAAGGTAGGACGCAGAATAGCATCTGAAGGTGACGCAGTAGCTATGTATTGTAGCAGGGTGAGAATCGTGTCGAGGACGTGGTCGCAGAAGTACGACCCCCCTGAGAATCGAGGTCTTGGCACGACCCCCCCCCCCTAAAACAGAGCATACGCAAAATCACAACAGCCGAGTGTATCGATCAACGGCCGATTCAACGGCAGCTGCGGCGCGATTTGTCCCTGGGTCAGATTTGCTGAAATCCCGAAAAAACCGTCGAAATCTACACCCTCGATGAAAAGGTTCCATTCCTCCATTTCCCAACCTTTTGAACAGCACGCGGTAGGGTTAGATAGAGCTAGATTTGCTACTATCAGGCAGTATTGGAATTGCTATGAAAGCCTTCCATTCGAAGAGATATAGTCTCTCAAAATTTTGTCGAGGGAGCGTCGAGGATGCTGAAATTTTCATGCGAGTTTTTGCCACTTAAAAGGCAATATCTCTCTAATTTCGCAAGATCTTGAAAAAACGAAGACAGTTTTGGAAAGCGGAAGGTTTGCGCTTTCTAACAGTATGTTTAGCTTCCTTCTACATTTTCTAGTTGAGGATCTATCGAGGATGATTCTCGGCAACTCAAAAAGCCGCTCCCTTCTTCACCATTGCAAGTGTAATTCGTTGGCTCGAAATGTGTCTAGAATACATTCTTCCAACATAAGCTAGAAAAGGGGCAATCGTCATCATCCGATTTTGTCTGGGTATAGGCCATGCATCCGACCTTCACTCAAAATGCGGAATCGACTTCTTCTTCTTATTCTTTAGCGTTTGTCCCACCCTGTGGCGGGGTCCGCTTTTCTGGTATTACGACGCCACTTTTCCCGATTATGTGCCTGATCGGGGTGAAGGCCAACTAATTTCAAGTCCTCATGCAACGTATCAAGCCATCGTTGCTTCGGGCGTCCTCTTGGCCGCTTTCCTGGCACGTTAAAGTCTAGACCGATCTTACGGACACTCTCATCATTAGCGCGAAGGACGTGACCGTACCACCTCAGGCGAGCTTCGCGCATCTTATCAGCGATGGGAGCCACACCGAACCGCTTTCTGATGGTATCGTTGCGAATGTGGTCTAAACGGGTGACCCGGCAGTCCAGCGCAGCATTTTTGTCTCCATTACACTGAGACGAGCCTCAACCTCTTTAGTCACGGGCCAGCACTCTGCTCCGTAAATGGCGACTGGTCAGGCTGCCGTCGGACGCGATTGCCGACCTAAGATACTTGAACGATGTTGTGAGCTCAGTGCC